GATTTCCAGGGGCACATTGCTGGAGAGGAAACTGGGGTTCCAGGAACAGGGATCCAGCAGTGGAAGCGGGCCTTTAGGTCTGGCAGGAGGGAGTCTAGGAATGGGGCAAACCTGACAGGAGCAGGGGACCAGAGTGAACATGGGTATCTGGGGATGGGGAAACAAGAACGGGGATCCTTGGGCAGTAGGATTGGGAAAAGAGTCGAGTCTGGAGCCAGAAGGGGAGCAGTGGGAAGGGGGAAGGATCCTTGGGGAGCTAGGAGATGAGGACCAGTGGAAGGGAAAGAAAGGGGAAGTGAAGGCTGGAGTCAAGAGAATGGAGGCAGGAGTCCAGAAGAAGGAGGTCATAATGTGAGCGGCTTCAAGGGGCGGGACCCTGGAGACCATGTGGATGAGGAGTGTGAAGTGTGTGCAGAAGTTATATGTGCAACTGAAGAGAGGCAAGGAACAGCTACCCCCAAACTGTCAGAGGTAGTCAGGGTTCATCCCCTGGGGTATTAGAAGGTCGTATACATCCCAACGTGATACTGGGGAGTGCGCCATCTCACATTGATCTGTGGGGCCAATAGCAGCTTCTCCTGCTATTGCATGGGGAGATCAGGTGCTCCCCCTCCCAATGGCAGGGCATCAGGTGTACACCGTATTGTTGTGGGGGCAGATGCCTCCCACACCACTGCTGGGGTTCTGGGGCCACTTTTGCCTACACCACAGACTGGCGGCGTTTCTCTTTCCCATCTGTCCTTCATGAGGTGTCAATTTCTAGCTTAAACCAGGCGAATGGTGTATGTCTGGGATCATGGTATGTCCATGGGGATTGCTGCGTACGCCCCACTTAGCGCTTCTGACAGGCTGCACACCCAAGGCCATCAGAGAGGCCAGCCTCGCTGTCTGGGCTTGAGGGTAAGGAAATCCTTTCCTCCTTTTCTGCCAGCCAGCTGTCTGCTGGTACAGCACAGTAGCGCCTGCCGTGTGGGGTGGGACCTTAGGAGCCCTGCAGAGATTAAGTTTCACTTTTGGCGTAAACCATCTCGAAAATGTGCAGAATTTAGAGCTCCAAGAACTTAAAGCTCACGAGCCAAATTCTCACAGGGTGTAAATCAGTACTGCTGCATTGAGTTTAGTGGATTTACACCTGCTGAGAATATGGGCCTACAAATGCTGTAGGATTTCAGCCAGAATACCAATCACTAGGAACTGTCCTCACTCCGGCGCTGGAATGAAAATGATTAAAAACAAATCAAAGGGCATGTGCATATCAGCACACCCACTGCTGTCACTCCTGTAACTGCCACACCTGCATGAACCCTAGAACTGGATGAAATCCTTCAGTCAAAACTGAAGGATTTAGAAGCAAACCAAAAAAAATACTTTTTTCAAAGCCAAAACTTTCACAAAAAGCTTTCTGGTTTTCAAAGTATTTTGTTGTTGTTTCTTCAAAACTGGACATTTTGAAAATTCAGAGTTTGTTTTTTAGGACTATTTTCCTCTGGACCCTCCATCCCTTGCCACTTTTCCTCATTTTTCCCCCAGTGTTTCTTTTTGCCACTGAATTCATTAGAATAAATTATACCTTAAGGATTTATTGAGATTTTTGTTTTGTGTGGGGTTTTTTTTTTTTTTTAAATTTTTGTGACCCTGGAAAATGTCCAGAATAGCAAGAGGAACAATGACTCTCTAACTGTAACTTTCTCCAGTTTAGTTGGAGAAGTTCTGACAAGTTACAGGGCATGAAAAGGAAAAAATGGGGACGGGCACAGGAGGAATTAAAATATGAACAGTGGCCGACAGAGAACCTGGATACTAAATTTTTGTTGCATTGAAGGCAAGAAAAAAGAAGGGAGATAAAATGTCAGTATAACAGGGTCACATGCCCCATGCCCTTTGGGGGGTAAATCTGGCCCAGTGGCAAAGTCTATACTGCCCCCTATCTGGGGTAATTATGGCCCAGCGGATGAGTCTATAATGCCCCTATCTGGGGTAATTATGGCCCAGTGGCCGAGTCTATAATACCCCTTGTCTGGGGTGCAAGTGTAGTGGGGGGCTGGGCCCTTCCTCTCCACCGGGCCCCAGCTCAGGGACCTATCGGCGGAGAGTTACTTCCAAAGCACGCCGAGTTCTCTGGGATACCTCCTGCTCCCTGCCCAGGCTGCTTCCTACCCTGTCCCCATCTGGGCTGGCGAATGCTGCAGCGTTCGCAGCTCCAACTTGTGTGGCGGCTCTGGTTGGGGCAGCAGCTGCAACTGGCAGCTCTGGCTGGTCCCACGAGAGTGGTTGCTCCTGGGCTCTGGCAGGCGCTCCTTCCCCTTTGGTGGTCAGCCCTGACTGAGAGGCTCCACCGGCCTTTATACTGACCTTCCGGCTGGAACATGCCCAGCAGGGCCTTGCGGGAGGAGCCTTCTCAGCCCAGCAAGCCTGGTTAAACTCTGTACTGCCAGTGTGTGGTTGATACACCCCATCATCCTCCCTCCCTTAAGAGAGACTCCTGGGGAGGCACTTCTTCATCCTCCTTGGCGACTATGCAGGAGAAAAAGTCAACATTAGCATGAGCTTTCCCGGGCCGGTGTGCCACCTGGAACAAATATGGCTGCAAGGATAAATACCAGCACATAATCCACGCATTTGAGTCCTTCATGCTACGCAGCCACTTAAGTGGGGTGTGATCTGTCACGAGCATGAACGTATTTCCCAGGAGGTCGTACCGAAGGGCCTCAGTCGCCCATTTCACTGCTAATGCCTCCCAGCCTACATTGGAATATCTAGTTTCTCTAGGGAACAGTTTGCGGTTCAAATAGAAGTTGGAGTATTCTGTCCCTTCCCGTCCCTGGAAGAGTACTACCCCGAGGCCCACCTCTGAGGCATCCGTCTGTAAGATGAATCGGGTGGGGAGAGCACAGGCTCTGAAATGCAGTCTTACACTCTGTTGTTCACTCCACCTTCCGGGATCGCTGGGCTCTTGTTAAGTCAGATAAAGGGGTGGCCAATGTAATGAAGTTAGGTATGAACCGATGGTAATATCCCACCAGTCCCAGAAACTGCAGGACCTGCCTCTCTGTGGTGGGAATGGGGTAGTCCCTCAGGGCCTGTACCTTGTCTACGTGGGGCCATAGTTTCCCCTTCCCCATGGTATAACCCAAACAAGTCACCTGTCGATGTCCCAGGTGGCATTTGGCTGGATTGGCTGTGAGGTCCGCTTACCTCAGAGCTTGAAGGATCTGCTCAAGATCGTCCAGGTGGTCTGCCCAGCTCAGACTATAGATGATGATGTCATTGATTTACACAGTGGTATATTCAGTGGGGGCCCAATACTTTGTTCATGAGCCTCTGGAGGGTAGTGGCAGCCCCATGTAACCCAAAAGGCATCACAATAAATTGGTAGAGCCCAAAGGGTGTTGGGAATGCTGTCTTCTCTTTCTCTGCAGGGGGTAGGGGGATCTACCAATATCCTTTCGTAAGGTCTAGCATTAAAATAAACTTTGCCTGCCCCAATCGCTCCAGCAACTTGTCTACCCAGGGCATGGGATACGCGTCGAACCGAGAGATAGCATTTACCTTACGAAAGTCCACGCAGATCCATGCAGTCCTGTCTGTTTTGGGGACTAGCATGATTGGGCTCTGCCATTCACTCCGAGACACCTCCACTACCCCTAGAGTCAGCAATTCCTCTCGCCCAATGTCCTACATTTTCCAGGAAATTGGGTGGTGGTAGTTCCTCACCTTCTGGCCTGGAATGATATGATAGCGATATGATAGCTGATAAGCCATGTCCTCTCCAGCTGGGCAGACAGGACCTGCAGGAATTGAGCTATCAGCTCCTGCAACTGGTCTTTCTGTTTGGGTAGGAGGTCTGGGCCCACGTCCACTGGCCGGGAGTCTTGCGGATCCCCTGCTTGTGGTCCACGTTTGGGTTCTGAGGGGTACGGGGTGATCATCATGGCCTCTCATTCTATCCAGGCCTTTAAGAGGTTTACATGATACACCTGGGTTTCCCTCTGCCGCCCTGGCAAGCGTACCACATAGTCAACCAGTCCTAATTTCCAGGTGACCTCGAAGGGGCCCTGCCACTTCACCAGTAACTTGGACTCTGCTGACAGACGGAGCAGTAGTATTTGGTCCCAGAGCTTGAAAGTCCTCACCCTTGCTCCCTTATTATACTGGCAGGCCTGCTCCATCTGGGCTCTCTGTAAATCTTCCCTAGCCAGACATCCCAACTCTTCAATGCATTCTCTCAATTGCAGCACATGCTGCACCGACCCTTGGGCATCTCCTGCGCCTCCCAAGTCTCCTGCTCTTCCC